TGCACGACGGCCGCGGGGAGCTGTGCGGCCGGGACCCGCCGTCCCCGGAGGACCTCCCCCCGCCCCCTCGAGGACCCGCCGTCCCCCAAGGACCTCCCCGCCCGGAAGATCTCCCCCCTCCGGAGGACCTCTGCCCCCCGAAAGGCGCCTGACGACCCGACCCCGCCCTCTGTCCATTGGGCGCGCCCAGCGCCGTCCCTGGAACCGGACAGACCGGGCGTCCCACGGACACAGCGTGCTCACGTCAGGTCTCTGCTCTGCTCCGCCGTTTTAGGAGAGAAACCGCGCTCGGCCGAGGCCGCGGGAGTGAGGGGTCGGGCGATTGCGAGCTGTGGAGGTGAGTGAGCGCGGTCCCCCTCCCGCGCTGCCTTCCATCCCAGGCGTCCCGGGGGTCCTGGAGGTTCTGGAGGTCGCGGAGGTCCCGGGGGTCTGGAGGGAGGCGGAGGCGCCGCGAGGGAGCCGGGCGGGGGTGTTCCCAACAGTCAGGTGCGGGCGCTTCCTTGTTTGTCAGTCCAGCGTCTTCTCCGCAAGAGACTAATTTTTGCCCAGAAATGATTGTAGTTTATGAACTCAACTGAAAAAAAATGTGGCTAAAATTTGGGGTTCATGAAAATCAAATTAAACAGGGTGAGCAGCTCTTTTTTCTTAAACTGCTCTATGAGTCCAGGTTTAGTTTCTGGAACTGCACAGGTGTGTCAGGAAATTGGAATGCAGCTGCTTTCGCACCAAATGAACCGGCCTGTTGGAAAAGTCCTTCCTTCCAAAGTCAGGGTTTGGGTAGACAGAAAATCTGAGGTAGAGGGCAGAGAAGAGACTCCAGTGGGGCTTAGAGCCCACCCCATGGAATTCAAATCTAGAAGAAATAAAATATCCTGCATCGCAGTAAGCCAGGGTCTACAATAAAACTTTACTTTCTTAGAATTTTAATGGATAAGTAATGTGAGGAAAATCTGAAATTTTTCAGTTATGCATTATGAGATATAGAAAGATTACTACAGAAAATGATTGCTTGAACTGAGAAGAAACTAATTAACTAAAAAGTCGTGTCACTCAGCATTGAAATTTCAAGTGTGGTGCATGACCTATTAACTGTAGTCGCCATCAAGGAAAAATAGCCAAGTCATGACTCTTACATAATACTGTGTAGGAATATGGCCTGGGAAATGTGCTATCAAGACCAAGATAAGTTTGCTGCCTCTTGTTTTGTTTTGTTTTGTTTTAACTACAAAGATAGATGTGGCAGTGGGGTCAGCATGACTGAATCACATACTTTAAGCTGTACTGTAAATTACACTCGAAATTACAGACAGGTAGTAATTGACTCATCCACACCAGTTTGCTCACTTCTTTTATTCACATTGAGTTCCAGATGGTTCCCCAATCATGGTCTAGCGTGCCTCCTAAACACCAATAAGCAGGATTCTAGAATTGCAATTTGGAAAGTGAAGATGGGTCTGGGGTTAGGAATAGATCCTGGCTTGTCACAAGGAACTGAGGCTTACAGGCATGCCTTTTTTTATTTAAAGGCCAAATTACTTTAGCTCAGCTTTTCAAGAGATACTGTTTACAGGCCTCTTACCTAATAATCTTTAAGTCAGTTCTTCTGACTTTTCCAGTCCTCAGCTCTAACTTAAGGGAATAAAGGCAATTTGCAGTTATGTTGCTGGAAAAAAAAAGTTTACATTAGAGCACTTGTAAGGGAACAGCTACCTTCAGCAATCTTAGGGACCTCCTCTGTCTCTCGGGAGACACGAGTGGGACATGGTCTTCCTTCAAGCCTCAGAGTTTTGCTTCTTCCGAAGGGTGCACCTTGCCCTTTCTAGGAATCAGATCAATTTGTATTTGCTACCCCGAGCCCCCAGGAAGATGTCTTTTCCTGAAACAATTCTGTTTCCCCATCCCACTCATTGGCAGCTTACGTTTGCCCATGAGCAGCCGGAAGAACCGTCCAGGAGTTGGGACACCGAAGAACAGGACAGGGACATGCTTGTGTTCTTGTATAGACAGACTTCTCTAACTGAGAAATCAGTTTTGTATTTAGTGTGACATCCCCAGGATCCTCTGTTGTCTCTAGGAAAACATAAGTCCTCCAGGAATTCTTCATCTTTCACTTTTATTTTATTTTTTTTGTGAGGAAGATCAGCCCTGTGCTAAAATCTGCTAGTCCTCCTCTTTTTTTTTTTTTTGCTGAGGAAGACTGGCCCTGGGCTAACATCCGTGCCCATCTTCCTCCACTTTAGATGGGACGCTGCCACAGCATGGCTTGCCAAGCCGTGCGTCGGTGCGCACCTGGGATCCAAACCGGCAAACCCTGGGCCGCCGCAGCGGAGCGCGCACACTTAACTGCTTGCGCCACCGGGCCGGCCCCCATCTTTCACTTTTAAACTTAAAGTTTCCCTAAACATGGGTCACAAGAACTTGTCGAATCTTCTCAAGGGTAGTTATTTTAACCAAAACACCCTCTTAGAAGAGGAAAATGAGGAATTGGCTAGAAGTTTTCAAATAAACATGATATTGTGGAAATAATCTCATAAGACAAACCAGCAGTCAAGAATAATGATTCATCATTAAGGGCATGTTACAGGGTCAGGCTCCCTCACACTCTCGCCAGGTGGCCTTGGGAAAGCAATTTTTTTCTTATCCAAGTAAAATGGAAAAATAATTTCCATCTTATGGGGTTGTTGTGAGGGCTGATTCAGAAACCACACGGGAAGCTTGTAACACATGCTCTATACAGAGAATGTGCCCAGTCCTAACAGTGAATGTAATGGTTAGTATTAGCCTTTTATGCAGCAGCCAAATTGCTTGTATTTTGTTTTTACTCTATAATGAAATAAATGACAAGACATATGTCTTATCTTTTTTTTTTTAAAGCTTTATTGAAGTCAAAATGTCTCAAAAAATCCATGGCGGTTCTGTAGTAGAGATGCAAGGAGATGAAATGACACGAATCATTTGGGAGTTGATTAAAGAAAAACTCATTTTTCCGTATGTGGATTTGGACCTGCACAGGTAAATGAATTACTCTTCCAAGTGGCAAACTCAAAAAGCGTAATCTAAGTGATTTCAGGGTATGACTAGCTTTTTACATAGATAGAGTTGTATCTTGCGAATAAAGCTTTTGGGGAGGGATGCCTAAATGTACGTAAATGAATCTTCTAATTCTAACATATTGCTAGAAAAGCTGGACTTTTCATTCTTCATAAGAGAAGAACTTTGATGGGAACAAAGTGCTCCTCGGGTCTTTCCAAGCCTGTACTTCCGGTGAGGGTTTTATGGGTGATAAGTCAGGGGTGAGAGAAGCACGAGGTGCTATTTGTGGGAGGGAAAGTAGCAGAGGTCCTTCCTCCACCAACACAGTTTTGTCCTCTGAGCTCTGTTTTCTGTGGTCTGCTTCACTAGTCAGTGGACTTTTCCCTTTTCCTTCCTGCCCTCGCCCGCTTCCTGAATTGTTAGCACAGAGAGAACACTTGAAGTTATTTAATCCAATGCCACCTTTTAGAAGTTCCTTTAAACCATCTTGTCCCAAAGAGTTGAGCCTTTGTTTGCCCTGTGTTTAAGTGTTTGGAGACAGACATGAAAGTCTGTACAGAAGTCTCTCATTTTTCCCCTGTGATTTTCGTAAACTCGCTTGTGCTCTTTGTGCATTTGAACTAGGTAGAAAGAGAATTTTTACAAGGGTGAAGTGGCAGAAAGCCGGCTTGGTAAGATGGTGAACAACACATTCCAGCCAAACTGTTGGCAACTGTAAGTGTGTTTGCCTTGACCCAGAATTATTCATCAGACTATGTCCTGAGGACCTGTTGTTTGCTTGGGTGTAGACATTTAATTCACATGGTGTCATTAGGCACTGTTTTTAATTATTCTAAGCCTTAGCTATTGATAATGCCTATATTGCAACCATCAGAAGGAGCAAATATTGCAGAGGTCAACCAAAGGTAGGATGAAGCATAAGAAACGTCATCCAAGGGGTTAAAGAAGCATTTCACAAGCACTCACCTGTTCAGAGCTTTACTGGGCAGTAGGTGAGTTTGCAGAGTTCTTGCTGGTATAGTAGCTGCAAAGAAGCTTTGAGCCTCTTTAGCCTAGAGGCGTCAGGAGTGTTAAAGGACAGTCATTATGCCTAGAAGGAAAAGAGTCCCTGGCTACAGACTAAAGAATTTTTTTTTTTTCTTTTTGCTTGAGGAAGACTCGCCCTGAGCTAACATCTGTGCCAATCCTCTATTTTGTATGTGGTATGCCTCCACAGCATGGCTGATGAGTGATGTAGGTCCGTGCCCAGATCCAAACCCCTGAACCCGGGCCACCGAGGCGGAGCGCATGGAACTTTAACCATTCGGCCATGGGGCTGGCCCCCAGACTAAAGAATTTTTGGAGGCTGAAACAAGTTTTAAGTTGTTCCAAAATTGCTGTTGTTATTACATGACTGGTTCTTTTTGAGGGGTTCTCTTTGTTTTGGTTTCTGGAGGCTAGACAGTGGTCCAGCCCACTTATTCATTTTTTTCTGTTAGAAATGTTAAGAAGAGAAGCAAAAAATCCACTAATTTGCTGGTAGGTTCTTCTGATGAAAAATGTTTCCCACAAATGTGAGAACTGCCACCCACACCCCGTGTTTGAGTTAGGAGTAGACATTTGTAGATATGCCGTGTTTCCTGTGCCAGAAGATAAGGGGGTCAGGGGCTCATGTAGACTTACGGGAATTATTTAAGGTCAAAGCAGTTTTGAATTGTTTTTGTTTGGAAATACGTCAAGATTGCTATCCTTGCATTTGCATCTGAGTTGGGATATCTAAGGAAAGGAAAATACAAGAGCAAAAAGGTAAATCTAGAGGCTTAATGAGTCAGCATGTTTTGGAAGGTGAAAAACTTGTTTAAAGCCTTGGAGAGCAAATCGTTACATTACTGTTTTGTTTTTCCTGTTTTTGACAAAGTATTCTATGCTTTAGATAAAGCTTTACCGTCATTGTTTGTACTCCGTGGACGACCTACATTCTCTCCAGCTCTGGGCAACCTGCAGTCTAGGTGTTGGCGTGCAGTGAGCTATCACTCTTGGTGTATAAAACCGTTACTGGATTTCATTGCTCATTCAATAAACTGCAGACTTGTTTCCAGAACAAAGAGACTTGCCCAAGAATTAGGGAAAGGTTCATCATATGACTAACTGGCATTAACGAAGGAGTCGTTAGCATTTTTGGCACTGACTATCACATCCTACCACTTTAATGTCATAATACAAAAAGTCCTTTAAACCCTCTGACCCCTTCTTTTTAGAGCACAGTGTTTACTAAGATGGTGCCTAGGGTTACATGTTTATGCTAATTACATGGAAGGAAGTCTACAGAGGGTTACCCATGTGTTGTTACTGCCTCTATATGGTGGAGAGCAGGCGAAGGGGCCAGCACATGTTTCTTTCTAGACGGCTTCCCACAGGGTGTGGTGAGGCCCAGCAGGCCAGCCTTTCTCAGTGCTTTGTAACTGGCAGCTGTCTTCTGTGTGGGTGCACTAAGGCTAAAACTCGGCAGATTCAGGTGCAATTGCAGGGCAGGCTCTGCGGCACCGCGTGCGTGGAATGGTGTGTGCTGGGAGAAGGGCAGCACCCTCAGTCCCCATCGGTCTGTCCGGACATGATGCTCATGATTTTCCCTCCCAGCTATGATCTAGGCATAGAGAATCGGGATGCGACCAACGACCAGGTCACCAAGGATGCTGCGGAAGCCATAAAGAAGTACAACGTGGGTGTCAAGTGTGCTACCATCACCCCTGATGAGAAGAGGGTTGAGGAGTTCAAGCTGAAGCAAATGTGGAAATCGCCAAACGGCACCATCCGAAATATCCTGGGCGGCACTGTCTTCAGGGAGGCCATTATCTGCAAAAATATCCCCCGGCTTGTGAGCGGGTGGGTGAAACCCATCATCATAGGTCGTCACGCGTATGGGGACCAAGTAAGTCGTGTTGGCATGCTTTGATTTTTCTGCCTTTGGCTGCCTGCAGTTCTGACTTACATGTGTTTTATTCTTATCTTTGGTGTCTACTCCCATTAAGCGAGGTACAAAATTGAGAAAAGCTTATATCTGTATGTTTACATACATTTAGATAGAAGTAAACAGATAAACTTGCAGAGAGGCACCCATCTCAACACAAATGATTTTTTTCAGACATATTTTTCCTTCCTTTATCTTTTTATTAGGTTAAACCATATGATATTGATGTTTTTGTGCAGATAATTTCCTATGGTTTAGCCAAATCAGTGGTTCTCAACCCTAGCTGTACAGTAGGTTCCCTGTATGGGTTTCTGGTGTTTGTTTTGTTTTGCTTTTTTAAAAAAATTGTTTCTTTGTTTTAATTCCGATGCCTGAGTCCCACGCTAGACCAGCTGAATCTGAATTCCACGGGGTTTAGGCGTTTTAAAGCTCCCAGGTGATGCTAACCTGCAGACTGGGCTGAGAACTACCAGAGATCATATTAAGTATGATCACTTCATGCATAAAAGGAAAAACCAATTCACTAGTTGAAAGCAGTCTCTTTAAAACATTCCTTTCCTACTTGGAAAACAAAGTATAGTTTCTATACCTCTGTGCAAGTAGGCTCATTGCCAAATTAAACAGAAAATTGCCAACTAAACAAAATCAAAATTCTGACTTCCATAGAAAGCAGCTTATGTCTTAAAAGAGCCTTAAACAAGAGTCCCTAATGCTGGACTCCAGAGGCTTGGATGAGGCCATCCTTAAAAACACTGTGGCCAGGGCAGACCACTCTGTTCCTGGGGACAGGGCCACCTGTCGGTCCTTGAGGGCTAGTTTACTTTGTTCTGCCCTGCCACTCAAACTGTCCTGCATCCTGGGCGGTCCCTTCCCAGCTGCCCCCTAGAGGCCAGGAAAGGCCCAGGGTGCTGCAATCCCACTAATCCTGGGAACACTGCTCTAAGTTCAGTGATGTCTTTTTTGTCCTTGTTCCTTTTTTATTGTTTCGGCATCAGTCACTTGAAGAATGGTCATTCCGTTTATTAAAGCCCACATTGAAAATTCCAACCCTCAGGTTGATTCCCTGATCCTTAAATGTGCATCAGCCTAGACAAAGCACTTTTGGAGTTTGAGTGCCTTGGTGTCCTGCTTTTGAGAAGTGGGAATAAATTACCGTTCATAGTGAAGAGCTTTCTATGTCAGCAGTCCTCTGCATAGACTAGGTATTCAACAGAATAGACATTTGTCATTGTCTGACAGGTCTTCCCTGCTGTCGTTAGTGTTACTGTACACGGACATGAGCAGGTGGCTATGGCTGCATCTCTGGCACCTGCTGCTGAAATCTCCTCAGTTGCTGAGGGAGGTCCAGTGCAGGCTGGGCATATCCTCCCCCTGGAGGAGCTCACACCCATGAGAGAGGTGGCCGTCCTCGGATGGCCATTTCCTCAGGGTCATCAACGTGCCCAGCCGATTCCAGAATGATTGCTTCATGTGGACAAGTCCTGGGCCTGGCATTAGAGTGACGATCATCAGGAAGAGACTGAGCCCTGAAGGTCTAAGGACCAGACCCCAAGTCTTTGCCCCTAGATGTGTTATTTGCACTACATCACAGTCCCTTCCTTGTAAGGTTGATGTAAGAATCAAATGAGATGATGAGATGATACAGCGTCTGTCACAGAGTGAGGACAAGGCATTAGCTCCCCCATCACCATCTCCAGTGCTACAGCAAGTCTGTCATCACCCACAGGAAGACACCCAGCCTCCAGGTCACCACCATTTCTCTTCCTCTGTCGTCCTGCTGTGTGTTTTATCTGCATCCCTTTAACATCTGAAAGCTCTTGCGTTCTTCTCACTTTTGTGTGTTGTAAGCTCCCTAAGGGAAGAGACTTTGTTGTTCTCCTCTCCATGTCAGTGGTCCGAAAACTCCCTATAGGGGAGGCACTCGGTAAATACTGATTTATAATGTGCACCACCACTCACCAGCTTGGGGACGCTGGACCTCTCATGCCCATCTCTACAACAAAGGAAGGTTGAGCCCTACGGACCTGTTTGTCTGGGTGTCTTCCAGCTCTATAGTCTATTTTTTTCCCTTCTTTGTAAATCTTGTTAGGACGGTTTTTTCTTTATACCTTTTCCCCCCTACACAGTACAGAGCAACAGATTTTGTTGTTCCTGGGCCTGGAAAAGTGGAGATAACCTACACGTCAAGTGATGGATCCCAGAAGAGGACCTACCTGGTGCATAAGTTTGAAGGTGTGTGTAAGTCCATCGCGAGCTACATCTTTTATGTTTACAGATCATTTAAACAGCATTATTACTGGTTTTTTAAAGTTAGTTGTGTGGCTGCCTAGAAGTACAGCCTGAATCCACAACATTTCCAGGGGACTCAAAGTCTAACATAAAAAACTGGCTTCCATGCCTTCCGTGGCATGGATAAAGGACAAAACGGGTCAGCCACTTGATTGGAAGTGCATATAGGCAAAGACAAGTAGATAATTATGCAATTCTCTTAAAACGCGGGGGGAAGGTTGGCAGGAATCGGTTGGTCACGAATTCTATAAATTAAACATTAATAGCCCCAAATCACCTGTCAGGTAATCCTGCCCTTTGCTCTGCTAGGGTTTGTATCTGAAAATGGTTGTGTCATATATTTTCTGAAATTTTCTTCTTGCCCTTCTGAGTATTTGTTCTGTGAAAGTGAAATGTTTGTTTTTGCCTTTTCTTTCCCACCATCCTATTGCTTCAAAGGTCCATTATGGCAAATTGCACCCAAAAGTTGTTGAAAGAACCAAGGACCCTCTTTCTCCCTATTAAAGTAGTCACAAGTACTCACACAAACCAAAACTCAAAACACCCAGATTTTGTTTTCCTTGCCTCCTCTAAATAATTCCATTTAAAGGAACCGGGTGCCGCTGGTTTCAGCCCCTTTCCCATTCTGAGGCCAGTCAGTCTGGAATGCTGTCTTCAGTAATAAGAGTCCAGCTGATAAGAGTTATGATTACACGTGGCATACTGACTTCCACCAGTGACAGTGTGAGCGTTCAGTACCTTCCAGGGAATTACAAGGGTTTTCGTTCAACATTTGAAGTGCAAATTCTTTTCCACAGCTGAGGACTGAGTGTACATGTAGAGTTTAAAATACATGTTTGAAATTTAAAAAGTATGAAAAGACAGTTTAAAAATCATCTACCGTTTCTTGAATATATTTCTAGTTTATATCAGAAGTTTTTGGTATTTCAGTATCCTCAGGATCCTGAAGACCATGTTTTTCTCATTTCTGTTGCTCTTTCAAAACAAATTAGAATGTCCTCATCTAGACCTGACCTTCCTCCATTTACGTGCCCCAGGGACTCCTGGAACATTCAAGCTGGAGCCTGGGCTCAGCCTGGGATCTGGGGATTGGGTGTTGGTGGTGGATTTGGATAGCTACAAGGTAACCATTCACCGCCTCGCCTCCTCTTCTCTCCTCGTGTCCCACAGAGGGTGGTGGTGTGGCATTGGGGATGTACAACCAAGACAAGTCAATCGAAGATTTTGCACACAGTTCTTTCCAGATGGCTCTGTCTAAGAGTTGGCCTTTGTATCTGAGCACCAAAAACACTATTCTGAAGAAATATGATGGACGTTTCAAAGACATCTTTCAGGAGATATATGACAAGTAACTACACTTCTTTTTTTCCATCTTCTTTTTTCTCAAGTAAGCTGGCATTTATAGTATAGAATTTGCATCCTTATCCCTTTGATTTGGGAACAAATTGAGTGAAAAGGGCAAAACTGAGATTTAAGAGGAGGAAACAAAACCAGTCCTGAGTTGCTTTAGAAGGTAAATGTGTTCTCAAATAAGGGTCCCATGTTTACTTTTTCCAGAGCCAGAATTGTTTAATGTTTGAATAAAGGTACTCCGTTAGTGACAGGAAGTTCTCATTTTTTAAGTATATGAGTTTCTGAGTTGGGCCCATTTCCATTCTTTCTGAAGCCGATTGAGCTGTATTTAAAACTGCTTTCCTGGGGTCGTTTGAACTTAAGTCTACATTTATAACAGCTTTTCGGGTTCCACAACGCGTGAGCTTGTCTTAAATTTTAAGATGTATAACTCCCTTTTAGGTGCGAGTGTTCAGGCTGGGGCTCAGAGTTTAGATCTCTTTCGTGGGGCATTTTAATTCTTCTTCCCACTACCCACCTGCACCAATCCTGGAAGCTGCCCTTGTCTCCTGGAGGGCATCAAGCGGTGGAATAGGCTTTTTTCCCACTTACTACATTCTTAAAGGGAGCTGAATCTGCAGGATCTGGTCAGCAGTGTACAGAAAACTGAACATGGAAAGTAAAGGGTGCTTGGGACACTCTGCCGTCTCAGTTAATTCCCACGTCTCACAGGTGGGGAAATTGGGGTTTCACAGCTGGAAAATGGTTGGGCGGGGTTTGAGCCAGTGCTGTCAGGTTCCCAAGTCTGTGCTGCTTCTACTGAAAACTGCTGCTCCCAGCCCACCCCACCCCTGCAGAGCGGATGGGGTCCCACAAAACCGGGTTCTCTTTTATTGTTCTCTTTTTCTCTCATTTCTAGGCAGTACAGATCCCAGTTTGAAGCCCAGAAGATCTGGTACGAGCATAGGCTCATCGATGACATGGTGGCCCAAGCTTTGAAGTCAGAGGGCGGCTTCATCTGGGCCTGTAAAAACTACGACGGCGACGTGCAGTCGGACTCCGTGGCCCAAGGTGAGGAGCTGGAGGACCCAGGAGGGGAGCGTGGCCCCAGTCCTCCCGCATGGGAAGGGGGTGGTGTCGTCCTCTGTGTGTAAAATCACGAAGTGTTAGCACTGCACAGCATCCAGCTGACAGATGAGGAAATTGAGCTTAGACAAGGGAAGCAACTTCTCTCAAGTCACAAAGGAAGTAACTCAGTGGTGGAGACTCTGGGCTCCAGCCTTAGATGTCGACACAGTTTCTCTCTCAGCCTTTTTCTCCACCTGGAGTTGCAGTGCCTCCAACAGGCAGCCCACCGGCCTGACCTGAAAGTCCCTCGCTTCCCTGCCCTGTCTTCCCTCTAGTGAGAATGTGAAAGGCCAGGGCACTCGATTGGCAGGAGGGGCGAGTCAAGGGGCTGGGCCATCTGATCTCCAAGGGGCTCCTCCACAGCCTGCTCGTCTGGCAGCAGGTGCTAATCTTGCCCTTCTGCTGGCCCTGTCGCTCTTCTGGGACTGTGTACAGCACATGTGTTTACTGCTGGCTTTAAACACACAGGATTGAGCAGAGGAGCCCAAGGCTGCTCACATAAACTGCAGGGACCAGGGCTTCCCTGTGGGAGGCTGGGCCAGTGCACAGATAGGCTCCTGTCACTGTCCCCTCAGCACCTAGTTGCCCTCCAGTCTGTACCCCCGACAGCTCTGTGAACTGGAGTCTCCCTTGGCGAATGTGCGTTAACTTTAATTGTGTTGCTTCTCTCAGCAAATACAACTTTTTCTTTCTCTTATGGACAGTTAAGCATCTCCTGTCAGTTGGAAAATCAGTAGACCAACTGGTTAAAGACGACATTTGTATCAGATAAGAGAGTTACACAGCTCTCTTCACCCTCGTCCACGTCTCTAAATCCTTGGTCGCTGGTGCCGAGTGCGGTGGGGGAGGGCCGTTGTCTTGTGATGACTCCACCGTGGGTCAGAGAAATGGTTCCTTGCAATCAGAGTTCTTGGAAGGGCACCCAAATCATTTCACTGTTTCTAAACGTCCTCATGGCAACAAGAATAGAGTACTGGAGGGCTATTTCCAATGTAAATGTCAAGTTATGGGGGTTCAAAGGGCTTTGAAACAGGAGTTCTGAAGTACAGCATCCAATAGTGTGCAGGTAAGATACCTGGGACCAGGCTGCATGTCTCGGCAGAGCCTGTAGATAGAGGCGACCTCGAGGAACTAAACAGATTGAGGGAGGCAGACCTGTCCTTACATCCATTCTTTTCTAGAGGCGTGAATAACTCTGTGCTCACACCCAGCATTCATTATGCCCTCAGTTTTGACAGTGGTACCAACTAGTGTCTCCTAATGTTAACAGAGACAGACTTGCTGTGGGTGTGGTCCTGGACAGGCAGATCTGAAAGGCAGGAGAATTATTGATGACCCCATGGGCTCCTGTTTATTTTGTTAACCAAAACCTGTCTCGATGAGGTTGCTGGCTCTCATCTCTGAGAGACCTGGTGCTGTCTGTGCAGTTGAACCGAGTACTTCATGCTCTGCCCTTACAGGTTATGGCTCTCTGGGCATGATGACCAGCGTGCTGATTTGTCCAGATGGCAAGACAGTAGAGGCAGAGGCTGCCCATGGCACCGTAACGCGTCACTACCGCATGTACCAGAAGGGACAGGAGACGTCCACCAATCCCATCGGTAAGACGACGTTTATGCGACATTGGTTTCGGACTAGAGTGGAGATCTCTGAAGGACCCAAACATGCTCCCCTGGCTGCCCAACGCTTTGGGTGTAAAATCATCACCAGACAGCTGATTGGCTCTACTAATAAGAGCTGTTTTAATATCTTCTTGAAATATACCCAATGTATGCTTTTCCGTTTTGTGGGAGAATATACATTACAGGGAAGAATGTCAACAAGCATGCTCCTTTTCCTCTGGTGCCGTGAAATGTCGCATGTGGCTAAGATGCTAACAGCCACGTGGATAGATGCTTCTAGCCAGGTGTCAAAGACAGCATTTCAAAGAGAGACTGTGGCCTGGAAAGAGGAGAGGAGACCAATACAGACACGAGATAGAAGAGGGTGTGACCTTTGCCAATTAGTAGATGCCTGAAGCTTCAGATACTCCTACCACACCACAAAAACGGGCTTTCTTAAAGCTTTGACAAAGCCCAAAACATTTCCTCTACAAAAATGCAGGGTTTTTTTAAGTTTCTATTTGGTAAAACATTTGCAACTCTCCTAAAGCTCGTAGCCCACGTGGATAGCATCTAATGAGGTCATTCACCTAAACAAAACAAAGATGCCGTGTTTCTGGGAGTCCCTCCAACTGGTATGATTAAGTGTGGTTTTTTTCTCTCTTAGCTTCCATTTTTGCCTGGACCAGAGGGTTAGCCCACAGAGCCAAGCTTGATAACAATAAAGAGCTCGGCTTCTTTGCAAAGGCTTTGGAAGAAGTCTGCGTTGAGACCATCGAGGCTGGCTTCATGACCAAGGATTTGGCTGCCTGTATTAAAGGTTTACCCAAGTGAGTATGAGAGGCCCTGAGCTTTGCAGTCAGATCACCGCTGGTCCCCTGGGCTCAGAACGTCAGTGCTCTTGGAGCTACACGAGCTCTTCCCCATCTGGCCCGGAGTCCGCAGACACTGTAAATTGTCAGGTACTAAACCTTCCAGGCTTTTGGAACATACGGCCTTTCCAAAACTAGGCAGCTACTGAGCTGTGCCGGTGTGGCGGGAGAGCAGCCACCTGTGCGTCAGATGACACGGGAGCTCACAGCAGGGCGCCCCCCCGTCAGCCTGTGCGGAACCCGCTTCAGCTGGGCTGTGTCCACGTGCAAGCTGTCGCGTGCGGGCCTGTGGTCTGCTGGCGGTCATGGGTGACAGTCATGGGTGACAGTCATGGGTGACAGGAAGGCTGCAGGTGGAAATAGGGCCCCCAGGCTATGTTACCCCACCTCTTTATTTCCTTCACTTTACGGAGGCAGCACAAGTGGTACATGCGAGCTGATCATCGCCCACCCTTGGGCAGCTGTACCCAGCTCAGACGTTCGAGGCCCGTGTATTGCCCAGGATTGTTCTAAGAATGTAGCCAAATCCCAGCTGGATTAGCTGCTAGTCAGAGACTCCTCCCTTAGAGTCCGTGCTGCTTCCTCTGACTCCCCTCAGGAAAAACTCCATCCACCGCCCGTCCCCCGTCTCACCCTGTGCCCCGAGAGCTCGGTCGGGGTCGTGCACCCGGTCGTGGGGTAGACTCAGTCACTGTGCCTTTCTTATCTTAAATTTCCAGCAAGAACACCATGTTGGACCTGTTCTTACCAGTGTGTCACCTTTGTGGCCGGTTGGAACAGGCACCTGACAGCAGGATTGTTAGCCAGTCCTCGTCTTTTGTTTGTTAAGTAAGACACTGACTGATGTAAGAGCATTAAAACATTTTTTAAGGACAGGTCACAGTTTGGGGGATGTGGGTAGAAGCTTGGCTATACCCTGAAGAGATTTTGTTGTTTTTGAGGGGAATAAGAAGCGGGGTGGTTTCTGCTCTTGGGCAGCTCCGTGAGTATCACCCGCAAAGCCACGGGGCACGGAGCCTGCTGTGCATGTGCTTATGGCTGGGCCACCTCCGCAGGCTGCCCAGAGCCTGGGTCCGCCCCTTGAACCTTGAGCAGAGTCATCAGCCATAAATTCGTAGCTTGTTAACGTTAATCGGTTTTCTTCTAGAAATAAATAGAACGCTAGGAAGTAGTGTTTCTAGGACTTTTCCTCTTCCTGCCAGCAGATCAGAGACAAACTAAATTGCCTTCTTTTCTTTTCCCTGTTAGCGTGCAACGTTCTGACTACTTGAATACGTTTGACTTCATGGACAAACTCGGAGAAAACCTGAAGATAAAACTAGCTCAGGCCAAACTTTGAGGTCATTCCTCAGCTTGAGTGGATAAGTGTTTGTGGTAGCTAGGTCCACTGGTTTACATTTTTCTGTGTAACACTCAAAGGTAAAGGCAAAATCAATTTTGTAATTTGTTTAGAAGCCAGAGTTTATCTTTTCTATAAGTTCACAGCATTTTTCTTATATACAGTTGTGCCATCTTCATGAACAAGGCAGGGGACTTTTTTAAATTTTATTTTATTTTCTACTAGTAGCCTAGGAATTACTTGTGTAATCATCCATACTCACTGTCACTTTTTCTCATGTTCGATATAAATGACCAAAATGAAGAGTCCTTGAAAGGGTAAACCATAGCCAGTGTTGTTCCCTAAAATACGTGTAAGGTAGGAATCGCTCCCTTCCTCACTCACCATGCCCAGGTGCTGGGGGGTCCTGGTGCAACAGGCGCCCCGTGGTGAGGTCAAGCTGCCACTGGAACTTGTGCGCGATTTGGAACGCAGAGCGCGGGTGGACCCAGACGTGTGGAAGATGCAGCGGTCGTTTTGTAGAAAGCTCTTGTGGAATGGTTCCAAGATGCTAAATACTTTTGAGGCCGTTGGAGGGTTTGGAACCCAGAATAAATACTCCCCGGGGGTCTGTCCCCCGCATCAGTCACCTCGTCCTGGCCTCGTGTGCTCTGAGCATCATGCTACCCTGAGCAGCACGTCTTATCCAAGTGCAATAATACGAGTGGCACCTTTTTTGGACTTCCGCTGGCCTGTTTTCTCTCCTTGATGGAAATGTGATTTTTCAGAAGGTGATTGTAAACACTATTCTCGTCCTGTTCTCTACCTAAACTATCGGTTTTAATTAAAATCAAGTGTTGATGCCCTGTCTGCTGAGTTATTACTCATCCTGTGTACTTCAGATGCTGGCACCATGTGAGGTCTTAGCCTTGGGAATTTGACTTTAAAAAAAGTCTCTGCACTTGGGGCCAGCCCTATGGCCGAGTGGTTAAAGTTCCGTGCACCCTGCTTTGGTGGGTTCGTGGGTTCAGATCCTAGGTGCAGACCTACACCATTTGTCAGCCATGCTGTGGCGGTGAGACCCACATGCAAAATAGAGGAAGACTGGCACAGATGTTAGCTCAGGGTTGGTCTTCCTCAGGAGAAAACAAGTCTCTGCCTTCAAGGAGTTTACTGTGAGGAAATGGATAGGTAAACAGACAGTGAGATGTGGATCCTACAGGGAAAGAGAAAGAAGACAAAGATAGAACACGGGAACGTGGAATGTTAGGGAATTGTGGCGATGCACGTGTGAAGGAGTTGAGGTGTTATCGTGTAAGTTAACAGAGCCAACAAGACTTAAGAAGGGAGGGACATGTGGGGACTGGCCCTGTGGCCTAGTGGTTAAGTTCAGCACTCTCCGCTTTGGAGGCCCAGGTTCAGATCCCAGTTGAGGAACTGTGCCACTCATCGGCAGCCGTGCTGTGTGTGGCAGCGACCCACTTACAAAATAGAGGAAGACTGGCACAGATGTTAGCTCAGGGTGAATCTTACTCAGCAACAAAAAGGGGGGAGGGGCATGATCATACTTGCATTTTAAAAATAGTGCTCTGGGCAGCTTAAATGAAGAATGGACAGTAGAGGGGGGAGTGGTGGGTGCAGCTGAGGAAGGAAGACCAGTTCCAAGGCTGCTGCCGTCCTCCCAGTGTGAAATGATGAGGCCCTGAGCTGGGGCAGCAGCACTGCGGGCAGAGAGAAGCGGGTGGACCTGAGAGGAGAATGCTGAATGGACGGGATTGGTGGTCCTGGAGATGCAGGGGGTGAGGGAAGGGAACAAGTCACAGGCTTCCCACGTTTCCACCTCCACCCTGGGACGGCTGTCCACATCCCAGCCTCGTCAGTGTATTGTGGGGAAGGGACTTGAGGCATGGGGAGGAGCTTAGATCAGGCTCACAACACAGCGGTGCCATCTGGCCTGGAATCCAGGACTCTAGCTGGGCTGGGCTCTTTCTGCTACTCTTGCACATGCTCAGGTTTGGACAGAAGAAGAATCACATGGACAAAAGGATGGCGTTGGACTGGGTGATCTTCAATCGTCCCTCCAGCACTCACAATCACCCTGGGTGTTTTCAGACGAGTGTTCGTGGCAGCAAAGCCCTGTTCCAACATCTGTCAGATTCAGCATTTGGCCAAGAACCAGTTAAAGTTCTAAAATAATCAGCAAATGATCAGATCTGACCATTACCTCCAGAGGCTAATGGATTATTGTGTAACAGCATCAGGATTGGAGTTGTTGACCTGGAAGATTGATGGCAGCAGGTCCAGGGACACAAGGGCTCCAGACGTCGAAATCCTCTCAATTGCAAGTACCATTTCTTAGGTGGAATTTTTTACTAAAAATATTTAAAATTTAATCTTAGCAATTAGAATCACAGCTCCGCTGTATTCTTGCCTGATATATTGAATCCTTCTAAGACATTACTGAAAAGTGATTTCCCATCCTCCATTTGAATATTTATATAATAAAAATTTCCCCAAATTAAGGGTCTTATCTCCTTCTGTTAAGAAGAAGATTAGAAACTAAAATTTAAAAAAATAAGGAAAACTTCAAATATGTATATAAATACTGATAAAAATTTTGTACTTTCATCACCTCTCTAATAGAGGTGTTGTTTCATAGTCCCCATTTTTAATATTAGGGATAATGTAGCTTCCAAATGCTAATTTCTCTGGAACAAGAAACTCGAACAACTCTGAATTTGGGTGGTATCTCAGACTCTGAAAGAGGTGAATTTTGCAGACATTGTAGCATTGTTTATAACTTTTGATTTTGACATTATTGCAAATTTACAGAACAATTGTCAGGATAGCATGAAGAAATCCCATAATCCTTTACGAATTTTTTACTTTTGCACCATTTCTCTTTCTTCCTCTCTCCATACACACACACTTTTTTTTTCCTGAACCATTTCAGAGTAATTTGAAGACATTGTGCCTCTTTACCCCTAAATAATCCAGTGTGTATTTCCTAAGAAGAACAAGGATATTCTCATATATAACCACAATGTGACTATCAAAATCAGAAAATTTAACATTTAACATACAATATGGTCCCTATTCAAATTTCAACCTCTTCTCCAATAATCTTCACAGCTTCCACTCCGGGATCTAATCCTGGATCATACGTTGCATTTAGTTGTCATATCTTGTCTCCTTTTGTTGGAAATAGTTCATAAGCTTTTCTTGTCTTTCTAGACCTTGACATTTTTTAAGAGTATAGGCTAATTATTTTGTAGAAAGTCCCTCAATTGGAGCTTGTCTGATGTCTCCTTGCAATTAGACTCAAGTTATGCATTTTTGGAGGAAACACCATTGAAGTGATGAGTACCCTTCTCAGTGTATGACAGTGAGGAGAGGGGGAGGATGTAGGGTATTGGTTGTCCCAATATTGGTGAAGTTTGCTTTGCTCATTTGGTAAGGTGGTAGCTGCCTGGCTTCTCCACTGTGAAGTTAGTTTTCCCCTTTGTAAACGTAAGTAATACGTAGGGAAATGCTATGTAATTATACTGTTCGTCATCAAACTTCACCCATAGTTTTAGCATCCATTGGTGATTTTATAACTCCATCATACCTTCTATACTTATTATATATATTATAAATATATTACATATTTCTACTATAGTGAACGACTTTCCCCTCCCATTTATTTATTCATTCACTCATTTGTGTCAGTACGGACTTGTGGATTCTCATTTTATTCAGTGGGTTATCATCCAACACTATCATTACGTATTTTGATGCTCAAGTTGCCTCAGAGTTTGCCAGTGGGATCTATCAAGCCATGTCCTGCAGCATTAGAAAGTGAGTATTTTGCAAGCAGTTAACCTGGGTAAAGAAAGATACTGTCCTGTATAGGAGGCCACCCAGTCTTAAGACACCTTTACTAAGTGAGGCTTCAGGGGCCTTTAGGAGCAATCTCCCTTTTCTAGCAATAGAATGTGTTGGTCCTTGTCTTCCTTTCAAGATCTGGCCCTCCAAGGGCTCAGCAGAAAGTGTTGTTGGAAGACCACCATTTTCAAGATGGATCTCCAGAGGCTGGAGACTTATTGAACAATTTAATGCTAACGTTAAAGGACAGATCTGGGCTAGAAGCAAATGAAGGCACGAGAGTGCTAAGGTCACTAGTTCCCGACCGTTTGGAAAGATGGGTATATCTACTTTTAAAATTCTATCAAGATGAAATTGTAGTCTATGGGATACACATTTGGGCAGTAATGGGGCAGGGGCAGAATATGGTTGGGACAGGCACGTGAACGGCTCCAGGGTGGTTGGCAGTGTTCTGTTAGTTGACATGGGTGATGATTACAAGAGTGCCTTGTAATAATGTATTAAGCTCTATATTCGTTGTGTGTGGTTTCCTGCACCTATTTTATTTTACAATAAAAACGTTAAAAAAATATTTTAGGAACCCTGTTCTGAGTCTCTCAGCAGTTGCACAGACCACACTGTCCTGGAACAAAGCCAAGAACTTTCTCTCCGGTGTTGGCCTTGCCTCCTGCCAGAGTCTTGGTCTGCCTTTGATAGAGTGACCCAATTCCAGGCACACTGTCTTTAACCTTTTCAAATACAAGCTAGAAAGTGTCTCTGAGAAGATGCCCTGCCTGTAATTTCTGCTGGATTGTACACTAAGTGTTCTGAGTGGAGATACCTGAGGGTCTCTGGTCCTTCCTTCTCTCACCTGGGTGAATCCATGACCCTTTCTTGTTAGGAGTATTGGGTGTAAAGCCTTCTTTTGGTTTCTGTGTGAGAATTATCCTCTTCTCGCCTGGCTTGGTTTTGCCTTGTGCATTACTTATATGTTCAGAGACGAAGCTTTGAGACATCTAACTGAAGCAAGTTTCTATTTTCAAGTCACTAATCCAGATTTTTCTCCTGTTTGTTTCCTACTTCAAGAGTTTTTCAGGCATTTCCACAAGATTTGGATACTGTAAATTTCCCAAGTAAATTCCAAAATATTTAAACTCTCTGATAGAAACTGAAAACTTAACTTTGACTCTGAATTTTGATTCTCATATTCTACACTACTCTCACCTCTTTAAAAATTTCCATATTTTCCAGTTGCAGTTACTCGGTTTGCTAGAATTACTCAATGACTTTATTTTTCTTTTAATCATGTTTCTGTTTTTAACGTTTGAGTTCCCTGTATGTTGGTGAGTTGTTTACTCCTGCTAATTTATCAC